TGCTTATTTGGCATTCAGATATTACTGTCACATCTTTGCCCATTTTAAAATTACTTTTCTTTCTTAACTTGCTATTGAGTTGTAAGAGTTGGCACCCCCTTTTTCTGGTCAGGATTAAATGAGAGTGATCCTTCTTGGGGAAACAGGTGTCCTACCTGCCACGGATTCCACTGGGCCGTTTCTTTCTCCTGGGACTGACTGCTCTGTGTTTCCCCAGAGGCAGGAGGATAGTGTGGTTGTGGGTGGGACTTGCTTAAATGCCATTGTAGCTACAGCCCTGATGAGTCTGTGGCTTCTTAGCTGGTCACCAAGGGTGAAATGGAGTCTGGAGTTCCAGGTCCCTCCACGGGAACCTCATGTCCTTCTGCTTTGCTAGGTCTGGGGTGTTCCGGCAGGGGGTGGAGTGGTGAGGGTCCCCACGGACCCTGAGTGGGAGCTGTACCTATCCCAGGGGGAAGGGAGAGTGTGGGGGTGCTCTTGCTGCCAGGATCAGCGTGAAGAGGCACGAAGGCAAACTGATGAGGAGTGGTTATCATCCGAAAATGGACACAGTAAGGCCTCAACCTGACCTTAGGATGGAGAGCTCCCTTTGTGGTTCCTGGTGCTTAGTAGGCGCTTTGAAATGTTAATAAGTAGAAGCCAAGGAAGAGATGGAGGAGGGCCTGTGTTTGGTGGGTAATATTCTTTCCTTAAAGTGGGAGCTCCTCTTTTTCTTTTTTTTTGCCAAGAGCCTAACAATCTGGTAGAAGTTCATGGACCTCTTCTCAGAATATTTTATTTATTGATTTTATTATTTTTTATTTTTAAAATACATTGTCACTGATTTTAGAGAGGATGGGAGAGGGAGAGAGATATAGAAACATCAGTGATGAGAGAGAATCATTGATCGCCTGCCTCCTGCACACCCCACACTGGGGATCGAGCCCACAACCCTGGTATGTGCCCTGGCCGGGAATGGAACCGAGACCTCCTGGTTCATAGGTTGACGCTCAACCACTGAGCCATGCCAGCTGGGCTTCTCAGAATATTTTGAAATGCACAAAATAAAATACATGGGATATGAAGGAGGAAGTAATTTTATTGAGAGAGAGCTACCAAAATATTACAAAACAAATTGGTGAGCTAGCAGGACGTCCTTGGTTATTACTGCATTAATAAGACAATCAATTAGGTGAATTAAGGTTTAATTTTGTTTTTTGAAGACCCATCAGTGACAAGGCTCTTGTTGCTCAGCTTCGAGGGGGACATTAAGCTGGGACATGGCTCTGATGGGCACATGCCCAGCATGAAGGAGCCCAGGCGATTGTGATGGTCCCCGAGCGCTGAGAACCCCTCTTTGCAAGTGGAACAGCAGCTTCTTTGTGGCTGGCTTCGTAAGGTGAGGAGGCTTCTCTCCAGGGTCATCAGAATTCTCCACGCTTTTTGGGTTAAACTCAGCTGTGGGAACCTGGGATCCCACTGTGGGGGGCCAAGACTATTCGGTGCAATTACCCCAAGTTGGTCTGTGGGCAGGGGACCCGGGTCTGATTATTACCGTGGCTTGGAAGGCATGATGAGCACAAGCCACGCTCCAGACACCCGCACAGCTGAGGTGGGATGTGAACCGCCTGGAGCTCTACGGTGATCGTGTCCCGGATCTGAGATGCGAAGTGGCCGCGTTCACTGTGATGGAAGGAAATGCTTGCTTTCAGTTAGAAGTTAGGCAAATAAAGGCATACTTGCTTGGAAACTATCCAGACCCATGCGACTCATTAGCCTGGTCTCGTCCAAATCCACCCTCCCCATTCTCCCCCCAGGAGAGGTTTGAGCACGAGGGACCCCAACACCCCCTTGCTGACCACTGCCCCGGGAGTGGACAACAGTGCTGGGACCACTAGGACTGCCCATCTCAGGAGCCAGGCCCATTTGAAACCGGAGAGGGCTTTCAGAGCATCCCGCCCCTCATCGTCTCTTTATGGCTGCGGACACTAAGGCCCAGAGAGTGGGAGGACGTTGCCCAAGGCCCTGCAGCCTTTGGCCAGCGGGTGGAGGCCGGGTGGAGGCCCCGTGCCGGCCAGGCTGACTTGGGGCAGGGTCGAGGGAGGCTTCAAGGGAGAGTTGCAGAGCGGGAAGGCTGGAGGTCCCAGGGTTTCACCCTCCTCTGGACATTTTGGAGGCAGGTCAATGCTGTTCTTCCCCCACCCCGCGGACGGCAGCTGTGCACATCTGTGTCGTCTCCTGGCTGCCTTCATGGGCACTGGCTGGGGCCTTTCATTGCCTGTGGAGCTGGTGAGAGAGGAGGGTGGCTGGTGCTGGAGTTGGCAGGAGGCGAGGGGGAGGAGGGATGGAGGTGTCAGGCCCAGCACAGACCAATGGGAGCGGGGCCTGTCTTGGCCTGGCAGCCGTAGCCAGCTGTTACCAGCTGTTGCCGCTGTTCGTCATGCCCTCCTTGGGGACAGCCACCCGTGTTCTTGGAGGAGGCGGTTCCCATCCGTGCCTCCTTGGCCCAGACTGCTAGGGGGGTCTGGGAAAGTTTGGTGAACGGTGATGGGAGCTGCCTTGGCAGGCCAAGTGGGGAGAACTGGAGAGAGGTTCCCGGCTCCACTCTCTGCTGTCGGCCTGCTGGGGGTCCACTGTGGAGCTCCTCACTCTCTCTGAGCCGCCTGTGTTTCTGTTTAGAAACAGAGCCTCATTCCCTACATGTCTGACAGAGGGGGCGGGGGATTGAAATTGGACTGGGTGTGGAGAGTTGCGATGGGCTCATATAAGCACCAGGTGTGCGTGTTAACAAAGCTGTCAGGCAGCTGCTGGGAGTTGTCAAGTGTGACAGGCTGGGCAGGGACCCCTTTTCAAGCTGCAGAGGGAGAGAACCAGGTGGCGGTTTGGGAAGGTTCTGGGAGGGACAGCATGAGGCTGGTCATTCCGTCCAGGTGGCTCTGGGGAGGGAGCATGAGTACAGTCGCGGGGGAGGCTTGGAGAGCACGCGCCTCGGGACCAGGAACTTTGACGCAGGGTCTGGAGAGAGGGCAGTGAGTGCAGCCTTCAGACTGAGCTGCTGAGCCCCTATTCCATCTGCTTGCTGGGGTGCTGCGCTGGTGTTGAGGGCTGGGGCTGGGGCTTTGGCAGCCTGGGGGGTGGGTGGCTGGAGCAGATTGTCGCCACTGACTTGGAGCAGCTCATGCCCAGCTGAAGGTAGAGGGGAGGGGTTGTGTTCTAAGGACTGTCTTGTCCCTGTGTTTCTGCAGGGTGGACCCATGTCCGGGTGCAGGTGGGGCTGGGGTGGGCAGGGCAGGCAGGTCCCTTCTTCTCCTGATCCTGGGCCATTAATGCCACGAGGGACCAGCAGCTGCTGGGCTCTCAGAACGTTCTGTCTCCCATGTCTGCACCCTGGAATAAATCCTCCCACACCCTCTTGCAGCTCTTAACAGGTCTCCCAGCCGATTCCCAGCCATCGTCTTATTTGTTAAATAAGCGATAACTTTATAACCCAATGTTTACAGGAGAACAATGAGAAAATGCAGAAAAGCAAAAAGGAGAAAGTAAAAAATCACCTATAACCTCGTCACTTGGTGATAACTCACGCCAGCGTCTTGGTGTGTGTCCTTCCAGACTTTCCTCCTGATACGCTTTTATGATTTAAGTTAGGATTGCAGCTTAAACTTGCAACCTGCTCCTTCCCTTCCTGTCTGTGAGATGTCTTTCCGTATCAGGCAATATGAAATGGCCATTTAACATTCAACCTGAGAGATGTCCCATAATTTATTCAACAAATCCCCTGTTGTTGGCCGGAGGTTGTTTCCAGGGTTTTGTTATATAAACAACACCACCCTTGTAGCCCACGGGTTTCATGCATCCTTTAGGGCAAGGGTCCTCAAACTACGGCCCACGGGCCACATGCAAATACAAATATTGTATTTGTTCCCGTTCTGTTTTTTTACTTCAAAATAAGATATGTGCAGTGTGCATAGGAATTTGTTCATAGTTTTTTTTAAACTATAGTCCAGCCCTCCAATGGCCTGAGGGACAGTGAACTGGCCCCCTGTTTAAAAAGTTTGAGCACCCCTGCTTAGGGCTTCCCTGGGAGAGAGCTCTCCACGCAGATGCCTCATGGGGGTCAGAAGCTCTGCGTGTTGGTGATGTTGAGGTTGGGGTGGTGATACTGAGGTTGGGGCTGGTGATGTTGGTGATACTGAGGTTGGGGTTGATGGTGTTGATGATGTTGAGGTTGGGGTGGTGATACTGAGGTTGGGGCTGGTGATGTTGGTGATACTGAGGTTGGGGTTGATGGTGTTGATGATGTTGAGGTTGGGGTGGTGATACTGAGGTTGGGGCTGGTGATGTTGGTGATACTGAGGTTGGGGTTGATGGTGTTGATGATGTTGAGGTTGGGGTGGTTGATGTGTTGATGATGAGGTTGATGATGTTGATGTGGGTGACGTTGACGTTGAGTTCAGGGGTGGGGTGCCTTCATTGGACCCTTGATCTACTGAGAGCTCACCTCGTCTGGACTTCCCTGGTCTTGTTTGGTGATACTCATGGCTGGAATGCCTTTCTGCATCCTGTTCCCATCCAGATCCTTTACATCCAAGCCTGACATCCCTCAGCCTGTGCCCCTGCTTCTCCCTCAGGCCTCCTACTTCTCCTAGTCTGGAAGGCCTGGCTTCCATGGGGCCTGGTCCAGTCACTTAGAGCCCTCCGTCCCCACCTGGTGTGAAAGATTAACCCCTTCCTCTCTTATTTTCCCCAGAGGAGTGTAAACTCTAATGGGTCAGGGGCTTCATCCTTATATCTCTCTATGTCCACAACCCCCAAAGCCCAGCAGTGGGCTGGGCACATGGTGGACACTCAGTGGCATGTGGTAGGCAGCACACCTGCCCTCCATCTCCAGCTACAGGGTGAGCTGGCCTTCTTTGGGCCTCAGAGTGTGATCTGTGCTTATGGTGGAGGTGAGGGTGGGCTAGGTCTCTGCCTGCCCTGGCTTTCCCCACTCCTCCTTGACCGCACACCCTCTCACCCCACAGGTCTTGGGTCTGAGATTGCCGGCTGACTATGGGTACAACGGCCAGCACAGCCCAGCAGACGGTCTCAGCCAGTGCCCCCTTCGAGGGCCTCCAGGGCAGCAGCACGATGGACGGGCGGCACTCGCTCAGCGCCCACTCCTTCCAGTCCACGAGCTTGCACAACAGCAAGGCCAAGTCCATCATCCCCAACAAGGTGGCCCCCGTTGTGATCACGTGAGTGGCAGGGGGGATGTGATCATGTCCCTGGGAGACATGGCTCTGGAAGCTGCCTTGGGGAGGGGGTGGCGTATCGTACATAATATCTAGATGAAGACACTGAGGCCCAGAGAGGTTAGGCCGTTTACCTGGAGTCACACAGTAAGCAGGTGGCAGAGTCTCGGTCGTGGGTCTCTAGCTTATGCGACTTACAGTGTCACCAGGGCTAGGGAATGTGGAGAGGGGGGACTGGCTGGGGGACGCTCTTGAAAATGATCTTCGGCTGAACATTTTCAAAAGAAGTTTATATACTTAGATGCATAAAACTTAGATTTTTCCCCGCCACAACCGGTAGTTATGGTTGGAAACTGAGGTTAACACCAGGCCATTAAAGGGCCTTGGGCTGGAAAAGCTGGAAGCTGTTGGCCCACTGTCCTCATTAGGTCCTTCAGGGACATTCCTGGAAGCGGCTGAGGGTTTGTTCAGTTGCCATATTTTGAGAGAGACTTGGGTATCCAGAGGAAGAGGATCAGGAAGGGGCCCTGAAACCCTACCGCCCCACGGGCACATGAAGGAGTGGGTGCGGGAGCCCCGAGACCAGGTAGATGGAAGGGGCATCAGATCCGTCTCCTGGGGAGTCGGAATGCCTTGTCTTGCATTGAATCTGCCCCCGGTGCTCCCTGGCCTCTGGGCCCCTCCAGGACGCAGGAAGTAGGACGGGATGATCTAGGAATGAAATATATTCCACACATAGCAGTTTGTCAGGGACCTAGCAGATGGGCCTTCCGTGTAAGGAAACCTGAGGGTGGGAATGATACATCTGGCCTGCTGGCTTTGGGGCCTGACAGAAAAATTGTAATCATAATACGTTACTGTGTCCATGATGAGGGGAGGAAAGGAGACGTTACATAAGAGGGACTTGACATATAGCCTCACTACTGGAGATGACAAAACTAGGTCTGGGCCCTGAGGGCAGTGTTGGAGACTTGTCCAGTCTTGCTCCGTGACCTTGGGCCTCTGTGTCTTTATCAGGATCTGTGGTGATGACGTTCAAAATATTTAACCCAGGGTGTGGCTCAGAACGGTCACCTGCCTGCTACAGAAATCTGTGTGTGCCTCCTGGCGCAGCCGTGAGCTCAGTGCTCCTCGGATTGACAGCGTTTTAGGTGGAGGGGACCTTAGAGGTCATCCAACACAGGGGTCGGCAAGCTGTATCTTTCGGGCTAACTCTAGCCCAGCACCTGTTTTTGTCAATAACGTTTTGTTGAAGCACTGCCATTCTCGTTCATGCACATATTATCTGTGGGTGTTTAACACTTCAACTGCAGAGGTGAGTGGTTGTAACAGAGACGTTGTATGGCCCATTAAGTCTACAATATTTACTATCTGGTCTTTGATAGAAAAGGTTTGCTGACTCCTGATCTAATAATACCCTTTAGAGCAGATGTGAAAACTGACTTAGATACACAAACTGAGTTTCGAGGAGGTAGAGAGATTGGCCCACCCTGGGCCCTGCAGTGCGATGGAGGCAGAGCAAGCAGCCGGAACCGCATCTCTTGCGTCCTCTTCTGTGTGCTCCCTCCCACGCACCCCACGGCCTGCCTTTCCTAGAGGCATTTCCTTTGTAAAGAGGATCAGACACCAAGTCACCAGGTTTGGGAGGCTGTGTCTTCCTCGCTGTTAGAATCAGCACACCAGCTTTTTGCGTCTTGGGTTTTGTTTGGAATGGCCCTGTGTGGAGGTAGAGCTACCACTAGTAATAATAATTTTATTAATAAACCCTTACTGTGCCCAAGGCACCGGGCTAAGCACTTACATTCTTTAATGCATTGATTTCTCACAGCAGCCCTAGGAGGTGGGAATCACTGGGAATGTAGCTACAGAGAGTGGGTGACTCCGGAGTCACGGAGTTACAAAGCAGTGCAGGTGGATTCGTGCCCCAAGCCTGTGTCCTGAACCACCTCACTGTGCTGTGGGATCACCAGTGTGGAGGTTGTTCCCAGAGACAATTTGATGGAGGGGACCATCCAGGACCAAAGTAACTCCAAAATAGAAGGCATTATTCAAGACAGAAGCTTCCCTCTCACAAAAGTCCAGGAGATGCCCAAGGGTGCATGATCAGCCAGGCTCCTCCTCTCTTGATGCCCTGCCATCATCAATATCTGCTTCCTGCTACCACTTCTGGATGCTAGCCAGGGAAGAGGAGAGAAATGTAGAAGGTTCACACCTTCCCTTAAAGGGAATGACCCAGAAGTTGCACAAATCACTTCTCACATCCCATTGGACAGAACATAATCACATGAGCATACTAGCTGCAAGGGAGGCTGGGAATGTAGTCTTCACATGGATGGCCCAGTTCCCATTCCAGGGTTGTATTGCTCATGAAAGGGAGCATGGATATTGTGGTACAATGGGCTGTCTCTGCCACGAATGGGTAACCACTTCAGTGGGAGTGGGGTGGTCCTGCTGTGGGGTCAGGTGAGGATGGAGTGGACTCTGACTGTGGAGGTTGCCTGACTTGGTCTCCATATGTAACCCCGGCAGGTACAACTGCAAGGAGGAGTTCCAGATCCATGATGAGTTGCTCAAGGCCCATTACACGCTGGGCCGGCTCTCGGATGCTACCCCTGAGCACTACCTGGTGCAGGTGAGGTCAGGCCCTACCCTTTCCTCCCTCTTCCGGCTTCTCTCTGCACCTCCTGTCCTTTAGGTTCTCTCCCTAATCTCTTCTGCCTCCCCGCTGTCCCCTTCTCTGTTTCACTGCCTCATTCCACATTCCAGGATGCCAATCCCACTTCCTCGGACCCATTTGTTTTCTGGGGCCCATTCGTCCTGCCCTGTGGAGCCCCTGCTCTTCTCTCTCCATCCATCCCCTGCCTGGCCCCAGCATGCCCACACCCCCTCCGTTGGAGCACCAGGGAGAGTATAGACGAGGACAAAAGTCCTTAGGCCAGGACTGCTGCCCCCAGGGTGGCCATCTCCCTCCCCTTCTCTTTCGAAGTTTCCGACCTTCTCTGGCTTAGCTGTTTTTGTTTTTTTGCCTTAAACGTCCCCTAGAAAGTGAAGCCCACAAGGACAGATGACCGTTCGTCTCCTTGTTCACTGCTGTAGCCCCGGCCTCAGAACAATGGAGGTCCTCAGGGAAGGTCAATGAATGGAGGACGGAATGAAAAATTGTGACAACTGTTGGCTGACAGAGTAGCTGAGGGTTTCTGGCTGGAAGAACTGGTCCCACCTGTCAGTCAGCAGTGCGGCTGTGGGGCACCGGGGTAGATGTGGTGACCTCAGGGTCCCCTTTTGCCCAGGAATGAGCTCTGCTAGTTCTCGCTGCTCTCCCCGATGTCCAGTACGCTTTTCCTCTTTTCTCTGTAGTCATGGCGTTCATTCATTCACTCCTGTTGGGGAGGGGAGAGACCTGCCCTTCCTCAGAACTGCAGGCCCTAGGAAAGGGCCAGGACAGCCTTCCTCTAGGTGATTCCCGTGGTCCCGGCTGTGACTCCCCACTCTGGCCTCTTCTCCAGGCCCTTCCTCCGTCTCCCAGGGAGTTGTGGGTCCACCCTAGAGCCAGCTCTAGTTTCCTGCTCCGGTGGTGCCTCTTCATGCTCTCCTTCCTCAAGGCCGGCTCAGATGCCAACACCTGCACGAAACCTTTTCAGATTCCCACTCAAGAGGAGCTGTATTTTCTGTCCTCTGACCTTGTGACCCCCTTCCTGGGATCACAGATGGTCACGTATCTCGTCTGTTTTTTTCTGTGAGCCTGCAGACAGCTTGAGGACCGTGTCCCTCCCCATCTCCCCGATCCCCACCTCCTGGGGCCTGGGACAGAGCCCTGCCTGTAGAAGATGCCCCTGGGTCATCTCAGTGTCCCCCTCTGGCTCTTCCACTGCCAGGGACGCTACTTCCTGGTGCGGGATGTTGCTGAGAAGATGGACCTGCTGGGCACCCTGCGGAGCTGTGGGGCCCCCAACTTCCGGCAAATGCGGGGCGGGCTCACCGTGTTTGGCATGGGACAGCCCAGCCTCTCGGGGTTCAGGCAGGTCCTCCAGAAACTCCAGAAGGACGGACACAAGGTAAGCATGGTCCTTTTTCAGGCAGGGGCTAGCCCCCCAAATCTGGGAAAGGGGCTTCTGGGAGAGGCAACTTCAGAGGCTTTGGAGGGTCCTGGCCACATGATGGGGAGGGCGCTGGTGACCTGGACCAGGCCCTACCAGGCCTTGAGCACCATGACGGTCTTTGTGGTCAGCATGGCTGGAAATTCTGAGCAAATGTTTACTGCATGGTCCTGGGTGGACATTGGAGCCTTGAGGTCAGAAGCCCCTGTACACCCCACTCTGAGAGACTCAGAGGAAGTGAGGAGGGTGACAGGATGACAAGAGAGAGTCACAGGATGATAATCACGGCTAACACTTATAGCCTCACGTCAACCCAAAAGGGCAGGGAAGTTATTCTCCCATTTATAGAGGGGAAAACAGATCCAGAGAGGGTAAGTGACACAGCTCCTGAATGGTGTCTCAGGACCCAAACCCAGACATAGTTGGAATTCTAAGAGCCTACTTTCTTATTTTTTGTTAATCCTCACCCAAGGATTCCATTGATATTTTAGAGAGAGTGGAAGGAGGGAGGGAGGGAGAGAGAGAAAAACATGCCACGAGAGAGACACACCAATTGGTTGCTTCTGAACTCGCCCCGACCAGGGCCAGGAATCGAACCTGCAACCCGGGTATGTGCCCTTGGCCAGGAATCAAACCACAACCCTTTGGTGTGTGGGCTGATGCTCTAACCGCCGACCAGGGCTCCAAGTGCCTGCTTTTAATGGCTCTTCTCTCCTGCCTGCAGTTGAGGTGGGGTTTTGTCTCCAGAACAGAGGCTGAGGGTCCACAGTGGTTTCAGGCTCTTCGACATGGGTGTCTGGTTGACATGGGGTGTAGATGGAGAGTCTCTGAGTGAACCAGAGTGGGATGGGGCGTTAGTGGTGGTCAGATCCCATCTTCCCAGCTTGACTGCCGGTTCCTCGGGGTGGGGTCTCCCCACTCTCTCCCTCTGTCTGTACGATGCACAGTGAATGAGTGATTGCATTGTGGGTGAGGGCATTCATTTCTTCAACTGATGTTATCAAGCCCTTGATTGATCCAGGGCTCTGTGCTAGGAGTTGCAGGGACCAGGATGTGATTCTGCCTGTGAGGAACCTGTAATCACTAAAGGAGAAAGGATGTGTTCGTTGATAATGTTACTACAAAGGGGGTTAACATTACGAAGTTCAGGGGGAGGACTACTGGCCCTGAGAGGAGGGAGGGTCGGGAGCGGGTGGCATTTGGTCTGAGCTCTGCTTCCTGGGCAGGATTCAGGCCTCAGGGACACAGTGGGGTGAAGAGCCCTTGAGGAGGGGAACGGCCTGCTCAAAGGCCTAGCGGGGGGCAGAGGATTGGAGTCCATGCCCGACTGGGGTGACCTCCTTCCTGGGCTCCCGGCAGGAGTGCATCGTCTTCTGTGTGCGGGAGGAGCCCGTGCTGTTCCTGCGAGCGGAGGAGGACTTTGTGCCCTACACACCTCGCGACAAGCGAAACCTCCACGAGAACCTCCAGGGCCTGGGGCCCGGCGTCCAGGCGGAGAGCTTGGAGCTGGCCATCCGGAAAGAGGTGAGGGCCACTGGTGTGGGCGGGCCCCTCCTGCTAGGCCTTGGGCAGCTGAGATGACCCCAGACCACAGCTCAGCGCTGCTCTCACTGGCTCGTCCTTGCCCATCTTCCTGCCCTGCTCGGGCCAGTGCTGGCTACAGGGCCGGCTCACGGGCAGCCAGAGGAAGGACCTATTCCCAGCGCTGTTTGCCCTGCCCCTCTCCCACACTGCTGTGCTCCCCCACACTCAGCATCCTTATTAGAAAAAGGTCTGGCGGGGCGAAAGCACTCGGCTAGGAGCCTGAGACTGCGTTCAGCCCCGTGAGCTCTGAGCCCTCGGGTGGGTCACTTCTCTCGTGGGACTGTTGGTTTCTGAGGTTCCGCTGTCCACCCTCTACAGGTTTGTCAAGGCCTCAGAGGCTGCTGACCTTCCACAGAGGTGTGTCAATAGAGTATGGGGGTCACAGTTCCCCGCAAGACTTCCACAGGCAGAAACCTAGTCTGGAGAGGCCACTGGTGGCCTCCCATCTCCCTTTCAGGCCTCCTCTCTAGTCCCAGCTGACCGAGTCCGGCCCTGCCCTTCAGTCTGGTGGCTTAGCTAACTCCTGCTGCCTGCTGGGCAGAGCCCTTCCTCTGACCCCAGGGCCTGGGCAGCTGCCCGTAGGACACGCCGGTCACAGAGAGCACCCTGACATGGAGTCCCCTCTGGGGGACAGGCAGCCTGTCGAGGCCTCTGGGTGGCCTGAAGTCCGTCATGCCCTCTGGCCCCCACTCCTCCATGCAGATTCACGACTTTGCCCAGCTGAGCGAGAACACGTACCACGTGTACCACAACATCGAGGACCTGCGGGGGGAGCCCCACGCTGTGGCCATCCGGGGTGAGGATGATGTGCACGTGACCGAGGGGGTGTACAAGCGACCCTTATTCCTGCAGCCCACCTACAGGTACCGAGGGCCAGCCCTGCAGGGCCCTGGGGTGCTGGGCACGCTGACCTGGGGCTGCTCTCCAGCTGGGCCTCAGCCTCACCAGCTGCAGGTGGGGCTGAATGGAATGCAGGGGTGGGGGATGCCCGGGGTGTGTGGTCTGCCTGATGGGCTCCTCCCCTTCCCCTGGCAGGTACCACCGCCTGCCCCTGCCAGAGCAAGGGGCTCCCCTGGAAACCCAGTTTGATGTCTTTGTCAGTATCATCCGGGTAAGTGGGGTGGAGGGGTGTGGGGAGCACAGAGTTGGGGGGCAAGGGCCTGGAAAGTGGGTTTGTGTAGAGGCCGCCGTCTCCATGGAGATGCTCAGGGTAGGTGTGGCCTCTGAGTTGTGGGGGGTGTCGAGTATGATGGGTATGTGTGCATGCGTGTGGGGGTTGTGTATGTACATGTCTGTGTGTGGGGGTTGTGTACATCCGTGTGTCTGTGTGTGGGGGCTGTGTGCATCCGTGTGGGGGTTGTGTGTGTACATGTCTGTGTGTGGGGGCTCTGTGCTGTGCATCCGTGTGGGGGTTGTGTGTGTACACGTCTGTGTGTGGGGGCTCTGTGCATCCATGTGTCTGTGTGTGGGGGCTGTGTGCATCCGTGTGGGGATTGTGTGTGTACACGTCTGTGTGTGGGGGCTCTGTGCATCCGTGTGTCTGTGTGGGTGTGTATAGGTACATGCTCGGGTGGCAGGGCCCAGCTGGGTGTCTGGGGGACCGGCTTTGCTGTGATGAGACTTGCTGTGTGACCTTGGGCAAATCTGCCCACCTCTCTAGACCTCAAGTTCCTCCTTTCTTTACTGGAGCTAAACATTCTCACCCTCTAGACCAGAGGTTCTCAACCTTCCTAATGTCACGACGCGTTAATACAGTTCCTCATGTTGTGGTGACCCCCAACCATTAAATTATTTTCGTTGCTACTTCATAACTGTAATTTTGTTACTGTTACGAAGTGTAATGTAAATATCTGATATGCAGGATGTATTTTCATTGTTACAAATTGAACATAATTAAAGCATAGTGATTAATCACAAAAACAATATGTAATTATATATGTGTTTTCCGATGGTCTTAGGCGACCCCTGTGAAAGGGTCGTTCGACTCCCAAAGGGATCGCTACCCACAGGTTGAGAACCGCTGCACTAGACTCTTCTGGTACTTCCTGAGTCCTGGTGGTTCTCTCCCAAGGCCTTCAGGAGTCCCCTTACTTAATCTGCATCTCACAGGGGTGTGAGGTGCGGCCCTGTCCCCCCAAGTGGGGCTCAGTTCCAGAGCCAGTGCCTTGTTCTCTCCCCGGGTCTGGGAAGGAGCAGAGCCTGGGCTCCCGGGGCAGGTGGAGCAGATCGGGCCTTGGGGTTTGGCAAAAGGGGCTGAGCTTCCTGTCTGCCCGCCACTTGCTGCAGACTGGGGTGGGGGTGGGCCTGTGTCACGACCCCTTACCCCCACCAGCTCCTCAGCCGAGGGGTGTCTGGGTCGTGCTGTGACATGCTCTCCACGGTCCTTCCCCAGGAGACCCCCAGCCTGCTGCTGCTCCGAGATGCCCACGGGCCGCCCCCTGCCCTCCTCTTCAGCTGCCAGACAGGTGTGGGCAGGACCAACCTGGGCATGGTCCTGGGGACCCTCGTGCTGTTTCACCAGAGTGGGACTGCCTCCGGGCCTGAGTGAGTGGGGAGGGCAGGGCCCCAGGGACGCGTCGGGGGGCTCGGAGCCAGAGCTGGGAACGGGTCGCTGGGGTTCATGCCCGGGTTTGCCGCAGACTTGCAGGGTGACCTGGAGAAAGTCACTTGACTTTTCTGGGCCTCAGTTTCTCCAGTGGGGAAAATGCCCCTTGCTCCCCGCCCCCTACTCCCCCCCCCCCCCCCAACTTGAAAGCAAGACTTGAGCCTGGAGCCTCTCAGTGGGGTACAAATGGGAGGTCACAGCCGGCCATCCCGTGGCTGAGGAAGCTCCGCCCCTTCCTGGCAGGGCTGTCCCTGCGAAGACCAAGCCTCTGCCCATGGAGCAGCTGCAGGTGATCCAGAGCTTCCTCCGCGCGGTGCCCCAGGGCAGGAAGATGGTGGAGGAGGTGAGTGAGGGGCTGGGCACGGGCAGTGCAGGGAGCAGTCACACCCCCGCGGTGGGGTCCCTTCCTCCCCGGGGACCCCCTGCTCTCATTCACGGCTAATCATTCTCTTCACCCCCTTCTCTCCTGTCTGCCGCCCTCTTCCCTTGGCCCTGCGCCCTCCCTGCCGCGGTCCCCTTGCCCCTGCCCTGGTCCTGGCACCAGGTGGACAGAGCCATCACTGCCTGTGCTGAGCTGCACGACCTGAAGGAAGCAGTGTTAAAACACCAGAGGAAGCTGGACCGTGTCCGACCCGAGAGCCCGGCCCAGGTGAGGCGTGGAGGACGGAGAGCAGCCGCGTTTGTGTGAACCCGCAGCCTCATGTGTCAGGCCCGTGCGCTGGCTTCTTTCATCCTGACGGGGCCCAGCGCTGCCTCTCCCAGGAGGAGAGCGGTTGGCCGAGGAAGGGGCGAGGGGGGCAGGATGCAGGGAGGACGGAAGGAAGAGGGAAGTTTACTTTCCCTGACCAGGTCCCCTCGCTGCAGAATAAACAGGATGGAGGAAGGGGCTGCTGGCGGGGTGCCGGGCCTCTGGACCCAGACACTTCCCAGAATGCTCGTGGCTCTCCCCCAGATAAAACCTTGGCCCTTCTTCAGGACGGCCGGGGCTGGGTCCAGCCTGCCGCCTCCGGGAGCGGGATGGCTCTGCGCTGTCTCAGCAGGCCTGTCCCCGCTCTCTGGGGAGAGGACGCTGGGCAGTGTTTGCAAACGGTGCGTGGAAAGAATCTGAAGCTGCAGAGCCCTTTTCTTCTTTAACACTTTAAAAGCACCTTTAAAAAGCAGCGTTAGATTATGGAAAATTGAGAAATCAGAGAAGAAAACGCTAATAATCGCAGCTGAGCCGCCGCGAGCACTCTGGGCCGGGCTCTTTCATCTTCCATGTTCTTGTGCAGGTTGCCCCAGCACGCGTTGTGCATCCTGCGTGTTTTGTTGGTCTTTCCCCTGCTCATACCTGCCCGTGGTCACTGAGAATGTTCTGGGTCATGTAGCTTAAGCTCATGGCGTGGTTCAGCATCATTGGGCTGACAGGTTAAGAGCGTGATGGCCCAGGGTCCGGTCCTGGCTCTGCCACGCACAGGCGTGTGGCTGTGGGCGTGGGGCCACGGATGGTAACGACCCACAGGGCTGTTGGGAAGAGCAGGTCAGATCAGACCCATCGAGCACTTAGCCGGGGACCTGACACCGGCAGTGTTCCCACAGGTCAGTGCCATGATGTATGACAGGCCCCTTCTCATTGCACAGTCTAGTCACTTCTCATTCCCTATCCTTGTCCACACTGTTGTGTCTGTGACAACGGGCTTTCACACAGGTGGGATTTTTCTCCCTTAGTCTGGAGTAGGTGCTGGGACACAGAGGCCCTGGGCCAGACGCAGCCCCCACCTGCTCTGGTCAATGCGTTTTCCTGGGGCTGGTCTCGCCCCCTCGCTCTGCGCTGTCTCTGGCTCTTCCGCGGCAGCGGCGGCGCTGAACAGACGGGCAGCCTGCACACCTGGAGTCCTTACCGCTCGGCCTTTTGTAGACGTAGTTGTTTGTTGACCTCTATCCTGGTTCCCAGAGACAGAATTAAACTTCACCCAAGGGTCTGGCCTTTCTCTCGGGCCTGTGGCCGTCTCCCTTGCCCTCCTGAGGCCGGTGCTGACCCAGCAGGGGAACCTGATGGCTGAAGGCGAGAGAAGAACCCTGGGGAGTCATGCCCCGCTGACAGCCCCACCCAGAGTGCTGGGCTGGGGTTAGGAGCCGGTTTGGGGACCCAGCTCTGTGACTTTGACCCTTCATTTCTCTGAGCCTCGTTTCCCCTCTCTAAGTAGGGGTAGCGCTGTCATGAGGGCCTTTTTGTTTTCTCGTAGGGAGGGTCCCAGGCAAAGGGAGGTGAGGGCCTCTGGCTCAGGGGAGATGCTGATACACGTGCTGCTTCAGCCCAGAGGGGGTGCTGCCCTCGTGGAGGCGCTGGAGCCGTCGGGGAGCCCCAGCCTGTCTCTGGGCTCAGAGCCTGTGGGGGAGGCAGACCCCGCATGGGGAACTGTAGTGCCTGCCGAAGCCACCGCAGCTCTCCCTGCACCTGGGTTACCTGCTGCAGGGGGCAGGGGAGATGCTTGGAAGGACTCCCAGCTGGCAGAACGGTGCGAAGGGAGAGGTAGACTGTCTTCTAGGATTCCTGAGGCTTCACTCCTGCCCTTCCTGGGTGGGGTCGTGGGGCCAGAGCGGCCCCATCTTTACCTCCCCAACCTCCCTCCTGTCCCCTCCTCTCAGGGAAGCAGCAGCCAGCAGGGTGTCCGGCAGAGGGCCCTGCAGAGCCTGGAGCGATACTTCTACCTGATCCTGTTTAACTACTATCTGCATGAGCAGGTGGGGCCCGGGGTGAGAGGCCCCTCCAGCCTCCCACAGTGACAGGCATGGGGTCAGTGAGGGCCCCTGTGGGATTAGGGGGCAGAGCTGGGGACACGTATGTTGGTTCCAGAGGAAGGCAGGTGTGGGGGATGCGAGGGGAGACCCAGGTAGGGGGTGGTCTCTGAGGAAAGGGAGGACCCACCTCTCGCCCCTGGGCCCCGTCTTGGTACCCTTAGCCAGGGCTTTGGGGCCCAGAAGGATCTTGCTTTGGACGGCCTGGTCCTTGCTCCCCACCCTCTCCTCCATGCCCTGGGCCATCATGGGTGTTTCCTGGGACTCCCCCACCCTGGGGCAGGCAGGGAGAGCTCAGGGTGGCCCCGCGCCCCTGAACTCCCATCTCTCTTTGCCTTGGGCTGCAGTACCTGCTGGCTTTTGCCCTCAGTTTCAGCCGCTGGCTGTGTGCCCACCCTGAGCTGTACCGCCTGCCTGTGACACTGAGCTCAGCGGGGCCCGTGTCCCCTGCGGACCTCATCGCCAAGGGCTCCCTGGTGAGTGTGGCTGTCTGCCTGGGGGAGTGGGAATGTGTGGGGGCTGGCCTTTGATTCCTGCGGGGTTCAGGGAAGCATCGCCCTCATAGAGGCAAAGGGGTGACAGCCAGTGGGTGTGGAATCTTCTTGTGAGTGTCACGGGGTCATTCTCCTCCGTCTCACACCGAGGGGTCTGGGCAGGGCGTCAGGAGACCTAGTTCTAGAGTCTTTGCCACCAGCCCCTCGCCGTGCGCCTCGGCATCCTCATCTGGAGAGCGGGCCCTGACGGCCTCCTTGCCGGGGCAGCGACGAAGCTCTGAGTGTGAAGTGCTGTCCCCCTTCCGCTGCCCCTGGGGCTGGCCGAGCCTCTCAGTGCTGCTGTGAGTACCGGCTTGCTGCTCTCCCTACAGAGGGCGGACGATCTCGTCTCCCCAGACGCACTCAGCACCATCAAAGAGATGGACGTGGCCAACTTCCGGCGGGTGTCCCGAATGCCCATCTACGGCACAGCCCAGCCCAGCGCCAAGGTGACCCCCCCAGCCGGCCTGGGCCCACTTGTGGGGTGTGGAGGGGAGAGGAGGGGGAGCCCTGCTGCTGACCTCCCTCCTGTCCCTGCAGGCCCTGGGGAGTATCCTGGCCTACCTGACCGATGCCAAGAGGAAGCTGCGGCAGGTCGTTTGGGTCAACCTGAGGGAGGAGGCTGTGCTGGAGTGTGACGGGCACACCCACAGCCTGCGGTGGCCTGGCCCCCCCATGGCCACTGAGCAGCTGGAGGTGCGGCCCTTCTGCCTTCTACACGCCTCTAGCTTGGAGGCCTTCGGGGGAGTTGGCCTGGGAGGGTCCGTAGAAGGTCCTATTGTACAGATGGAGAAACTGAGGCCCCCAAGGGTCAGGGAGTGGATGATTCAGGATCCCTGCCATGGCCACCTGCCTGGCTCCAGGTCTGGTTTATGATCCCCGAGGCTCAGGAAGGGCAGGCATGGGTCCGGGCAGCCATGGGTCCGGAAGCCAGGCCTGGTTCTGGCCCTAGCAGACTCTGGTCTTTCAGGTCTGGCCTGGAGGCTGCCTCAGTGGCCTGTGTGCCCTCTGTCCCACCCTCCCTAGAACCTGGAGACCCAGCTGAAGGCCCACCTGAGCGTGCCTCCCGCAGGCGCGGAGGGCCCGCGGACCCACAGGTTCCAGACGTGCCTCACCATGCAGGAGGTCTTCAGCCAGCACCGCGGGGCCTGCCCCGGCCTCACCTACCACCGCATCCCCGTGCCAGACTTCTGTGCCCCCCGCGAGGAGGTGAGGGGCCAGGCAGGCAAGGCCGCTTCCCCTCTGGCCTGGGCCTTGGCTATGGCCAGGCTCTGCTGAGGGACTGGGAGCTTGTGCCACAAGGTTTTAGATTTGGCTCAGGGGGTTTATTCACATCCCTTCCCAGCTTGGCATTTGCCTGCATGTGTGTGTGTGTGTGTGTGCCTGTGTGTTTATTATATGTTGTAGGTGTGTATGAGGGTGAGCATGTCCATGGTGTTTGTGGTATATGTGTGTTGGGGGACTGGAGTGGGTGTCATGTGGAGTGGGTATATGTGTGTGGTGTGTGCATCCAGCGTGTATTGTGTGAGTGTCGCTGTGTGCCTGTGATACCTCGGTTGTTTGGGTGCCATGTCTGTGTGGGTCTCTGCAGTGTGCAGAGGGGGGCCTGATAGGAGGTGATGGGGCCTGGGTTTCCTGTCTCACTTTTCTCTGTGCGTCTGGTTGTCTGTAGTTTGTCGCCCTCTGGTGGCCTTGCGCTGCAATGATCCGCTGCGGTTGGGAGCTGGGTTGCTGGGTGCACCTCAGATGTGGGCAGCAGAGCAGGGGGTCCCTGCGTGGCCTGGGGCGCAGCACATCGGAGTGCGTGCACATGTGCGTGTTCTGCCTGGTGGGCGGCGGGCAACAGAAGACCAGATTTGTGCATGTGTCTGTCTGCTCAGATGTCCGTCCTGGTCCTGGGGTGGGGATTATGCTGCACACGGGGCGTTGACGTGCACGTGGTCTTGTGTGTACTGCAGTGAGCTGAGTGTGTGTATACAGGTTGTGAGCCTGACACAGAGCCTGGCATCGGGTGAGCACTCCCTTTTGGGGGGTGCGCCACTCCAGGAGTCTGTGCAGCCAGAAGCACCCACTGACTCAGACCTTGGTCTCCCCACGCAGGATTTTGACCGGCTGTTTGAGGTCCTGCGGGGCGCCCTCACCAAGGACTCGGGCTCTGGCTTCGTGTTCAGCTGCCTCAGTGGCCAGGGCCGGACCACGACGGCCATGGTGGTGGCTGTGCTCGCCTTCTGGCACGTCCGAGTATGTGAGGCCAGCGTGAGGGCAGCGGTCCGCCCAGGCAGCATGGGCACTGGGTGCCTGGGGACGCTGGCTGTGCCAGGAGGGTGTAGGGGTAGAGCTGATACCTGGCGTGTCCACCCATCCTGGGCAGAGGGCAGTGGGGCTGGCAGACCCCTGGCAAGGGGCTCGTGGCATGAGGGAGAAGGGCAGCCTGGGAAGGAGTGCGCCCATCCCAGCAGCTGTCCTCCCTCAGGGCTTCCCCGAGGTGGTGGAGGAGGAACTCGTGAGTGTGCCTGATGCCAAATTCACCAAGGGGGAGTTTGAGGTGAGCACGCCCGATACGGTCCCTGGGGGTCACCTGGGGGAGGGAGAGGGCACGTCTTGCTGGCAGGTCGGGAGGAATTTTCAGAGCTCTTAACGCTATTTCCTTCTTCCGCCTCATCTCATCAGTGCGTCTCTGTTCCCATTTCACAGATGAGCAAACCAAGGCATGGGGCAGCTTGGCTCTGGGGCCCTGGCAGATGACCATTGGGGATGAGGGGCCTGGACCCCCCTCATCCTGCCTACCCCTATTGCTGGGGGACTGTATGCCCTGAGGGAGTCCACGGGCCACCTTCTTGTCTGGGTAGCATTGGCAACCCCCTCATAGGCACCTGGGACCCAGCTGTGGTTGGCAACTTTGGTACAGGGCCCTGGCCTGCCCAACCCCAACCCCATTTCAGTTCAGGACACTGGATGGACGGCCACTGACATTCCCCATGTATTGCACACCTACCGCAAACATGTCGTCTTCCTAGACACCTGGCAAGTAGGTGGCCATGTCTCCCTCTTACAGGTGGGGAATGTGGAGTTCAGAGTTGGCACGTGGCTGCCTGGTGTCAGCGTTGTGGTTGGCTCCTGCCTACCTGGCCAGCCTAGCCACGCGCCCCTCCCTGCTGGCCTGCCACCCTGGCTTCCATGCGGGTCCTCACACTCCAAGCTCTTTCAGCTTCCGGGCCTTTGCATATGCTGTTCCCTCACCCTGGCCCCCTTCTCTCTTCATTTTCACGGATGCTCTTCTTTTTATGTTTTTATTGTGGTAAAATACACATAGCATAAAATTTACCATTTTAACCATTTTTAAGTGCACAATTCTGTGGCATTAAGTATGTTCTCCTTGTTGCACTACTATCGTCACCATCCAGAGCTTTCTCATCATCCCAAACTGACTAACCATTCAACAGTCACTCCCCATTCCTCCCTCCCCCCAGTCCCTGGTAACCACTGTTCTATTTTCTGTCTCTGAATTTGATAGTGCTGCATATGAGTAGAATCATTTATAATACAGCACTTAATAGTAAGTATTTGTCATTTTGTGTCGGTGTATTCCACCTAGGATAATGCCTTCAAGTTCATTTATGTTGCGCATGTATTAGAATTTCCTTCCTTTGAAAGGCTGACAAATACTCTGTCAGATGCATAGACCACATTTTGTTCATCCATCCACGTTTGGCTGCTGTGGACAATGCTTCCGTGAGCATGGGCGTACCAATATCTGTTTGAGTCTGCTGTCAATTCCACAAGTGGAATTGCTGGGCCATATGGTAGCCGTACGTTTAACTTTTGAGCACCTGCCGTACTGTTTTCCACAGTAGCTACACCATTTTACGTTCCCACCTGCAGGACGCAAGGGTTCCAGTTTCTCCACACCCTTGCTAACACTCCGTTTTCTATTTTTTTTTTTTTATGACACCCATCCTAGCGAGCCTGGAATGGTATTGCATTGTGGTTTTGATTAGCATTTCTCTAAGAATGACGATGTTGAGCGTCTTGCATGTGCCATTTGGCCGTTTGTGTATCTCCGTGGGGAAACGTCTGTCATGCTCTTTGCCTGTTTTTGCTTTGAGCTGTTTCGTGGGTGAGAGGCAGGAATCCTTTTTATGTTCTGGATATCAATCCCTCATCAGCTCTGTGACTTGTAAGTGTTTTCTTCCATTCTGTGGGTTGCCTTTTTACACTGTTGATAGTGTCCTTTTTTTTTGCAAAAGTTTTAAAATTTAACGTTCAGTTTGTCTATCTTTTCTTTTGTTGCCTCATGTTTATGTTGTCACATTCAGGGGGTCACTGTCAAATACAGTGTCATGAAGATCTTCCTCTGATGCCTTCTAAGAGTTTTATAGTTTTAGCTCTTATATTTAGGTCTTGGATCCATTTTGAGTTAGTTTTTGTATGTAGCGAAGGCGGGGGTTCAAGTTCATTCCTTGGCCTGTGGACACTCAGTGTTCCCAGCACCATTTGTTGAAAAGAATGTCCTTTCCCCACTGAATGGCCTTGCCTCCTGGTCAAAAATCACTTGATTGTATCTGTGAGAGTTTATTTCTAAGTCGAATCCTTCGTCTTCGTGTCAGTCAAATGTGATCTCTTTTTACTCACTCCCAGCATTTTGCTAGGAGCTGTGTGCACTCTCTTCTTCACCCTTTACAGCCCCCAAGAGTTAGTGCCCTTGCTACTCTCAATTGACAGGTGAGAAAACTGAGGCACACGGAGCTAAGCTCATCACCCTGGACCAGTGGTCGGCAAACTCATTAGTCAACAGAGCCAAATACCAACAGTACAACGATTGAAATTTCTTTTGAGAGCCAAATTTTTTAAACTTAAACTATATAGGTAGGTACATTGCTATTAACTTAATTAGGGTACTCCTAAGGCTTAGGAAGAGCCACACTCAAGGGACCAAAGAGCCGCATGTGGCTCGTGAGCCGCAGTTTGCCGACCACGGCCTTAGACCCTATCGGAGAGGTGATGGGGCTGGGGCACAAGCCAGGGAGCGGACCTCAGAGCCTGTGTTCCAAAGTTATTTGACCTGAAGATGTCCCTAATCCCCGTCCTCACCCATCTCAAGACATTCCCCTGTCTAGACCAGCTTTCTTTGCAATTAGTTTGGGCCTATCGAGCCCACAGTCTGGCAGGGAGCATCAAATATAACGTGAAGAGCGCTGGAATAGGCATGGGTTCTGAGGGCCGAGGGCGCAACCAGGGGAGCCCAGTAGGGCTTCGTGGAGGAGGTGACATTCAAGTACATTTTAGGAAGATGAGTGAGTTCGTGGGTGAGGAGGGTTAGTATGCAGAGGAGACCAAGCGTGCAAAAGAGCGAGTCTGGAAAGGACAGGAACTGTTTAAGGCTGTGATTGGCAAGAATGAAGGAACTGGGGCTGAGGTGGGAGGACCTAGATTGTGAGGACTCTGAAGGGCTACCCTCAGTGTTTGACCTTGACCTTGAGGCTAGCAGGGAGGCAGAGGAGGTCCTGATCATTGGGTGTGGGTGGGGTTAGTTGTGTGGAGGAGGGAGTGGAGAGGAGAGGCGGGGACTGAGTGAGGAAGGGCTGTGGGACCAGCAGGAGAAGCTCAGTTCTCATTGGTAGGTCTTGGCAAGGAAGGCACCCAGGATGAGCTTGGGTTTCTGGCTGGTGGTGGTGACAGCCAAGGAGATGAAGGGTCCCTGGGGAGGAGCAATTTAGGGGAGAGGCCAGGAGTCCCTTCATTGAAAAAACTGCAGCTTTCTCCCACTTATGTTCTCACAGGCCCTCTCTGGCTCCCAGAGAGGAGGCGGGCTGCCACCGGGGGATGAGAGGTGATGGAGACCTGGGTTGGTGCTGGCGGTGGGGTTGCCTGATCGACAGAGTTGCCGGGGGGTGACCTGGCGGAAGAGCCCTGCCCTACAGAGGGGCCCTCACAGGCCTCAGTTTCCCAGGAGTGAAGGGGGGCTTACATCAGATGAGTGGGATCCAGGCTGGGTCCCCGTAGCTGGGTGTCTCCGAAATGCCTGTGGCCCCTGCAGGGTGAGAGCAGAGCCAGCTGGGCCCCAACATAGGCTCATCGCATGCATCACCTGCTCTGTCCACCCCACCAGCCTGCGCACACAGCTTTCTGTTTTGTAGATAAGAGTCTGGAGAAGGTTTTTTTGAAGCAAGGTTTCTACCACTTAGGAAAGCAAGCACCTTGGGAGCCCTGGCCTCAGAGGTGTCCAGGAGCCCTTGTCCCCAGCCCCACCGGAGAACTGGGGTCAGGGCCTGGGCCTCGAGGCCAGGTGGCCCTGGTGTGGGGTGAGCCTGTTGTTGAGGGTGAGCGCCCCTGCCCCCGGCACCTTGGTCTTCTCTTTGCTCAGCCCCCCTCCTCTGGCGCAGGTGGTGATGAAGGTGGTGCAGCTGCTGCCGGACGGGCACCGTGTGAAGAAGGAGGTGGACGCAGCGCTGGACATAGTCAGCGAGACCATGACGCCCATGCACTACCACCTGCGGGAAATCATCATCTGCACCTACCGCCAGGTGAGCCCGCCTTAGCCGGTGCACGGCCCGGATGTGGCCGCTGCGGGCGTGAGGTGGTGAGGCGTCCCTGGGACCCTCGTGGGCTCTCTCGGTCACACCACCACCTGCTGGAAGCAGAGGCGACCCCTGAAATGGAAACACGGCCGGCCCCAACAACCCCCAGTTCGATTCTGGAGCAGCTGGTGGAGTGTGTGCAGGGCAGCAGGTCCGAGGCTCCACAGGTTTCCCTCCCTGGCCCAGCAGCCAACCAAACTGACGGGACCAGAGGAGCACAGAATGAGGCCGCTCCCAAGGCCCCCGCTAGACTGTGTCTCGTGTTTCTTTTGGGTCTTCATAGTGGGATGGTATGTTGCCACTGGGTGGCAGCCACGTGCTAAAAGACAGCTCCTCTGGCTTTCAAAGGATACGGAGAGGGCAGAGCAGGGAAGCTTCCAGTTCCCTCTGTAGCTGGAAGCTCGAGGGGTTGAAAGGGATGCCTGGCCCTGCTTCAAGCATCACCCCCACACACCCACTTCCTTAGGCATTCTAGGTATCTCACCCCACCTCACCTCCAAAGCTGACCACCCTCCCCTCCTCTGAGCTCTGCAGCCATGGGTGTCCATTGCGAGGCGCAGAGGGAGGAGCAGGGAGCACTGAGGGGAGAGAGGGGAAGTCCCACAGAGCTGACCTGGTACAATCCCAGGTAGCGAGGGCTGGGGGAGGCGCTTCTGGCAGGAGGGGCTTCGTGGGCAGAAGCCAGGAGGCCGAACGGCGCACAGCACACGCAGAGGCAGTGGAGGCGCCGTGGTGCCGATGAGCACAGCTGTGTTGGAAGCTCTCAGAGGTGATGCTGGACGGGTAAGGTGGCTCTAACTCCGTTGGCCATAGAGAGGGCAGGGTGCCGTGGTTGGGGCTGTGTTTAGCAGCGGATGCCCCTGCTGCCTTTGGACTGTGGATTGTCTCAGTCTGGAGGCAGGAGGAGGAGCCGGTGGAGGGCCTTCCCCCTCCCACCACGCCCACCAGCCCCCTATTCCTTCCCCACGGGAGGCTGGTGGTGGCAGTGGCTGCGGGTTCCCTCCCACCACGCCCACCAGCCCCCTATTCCAAAGGCCAGGATCGTGCTGACCTTCCCCACGGGAGGCTGGTGGTGGCAGTGGCTGCGGGTGGTGGTACCGAAGCAAGATGTAGAGTGATTGCTCAGTGTGGCCACCAGGTGGCCCCAGCGAGCTGAATGTGGACCAAACTCTCAGGGGCTGAAGAAGGCAGGGGCCTCGGACACCTAACGCAGTCCTCACCTGGCTGCGTAATGATGCACCTGGGAGCTTTAAGAAATACCCATCACTGAACTCCATCCCCACTGAGTCGGATTCAGTTGGTCTGCTTGGGGGCCAGAGGATGGATCTTTTACACAAACTTTCCCTTGGTGAGTCCAGTGTCCTGGCAAGGTTGAGGACACCAGACCCTCTAAGCAGGGTCCCCTGCCCCAGTGAACGCCAGGGTCTCCTGGAGGCGCGTTAAGATGCGTGTTGCTGTACCCCACCTGGTCTCTGGTTCTGTGGGGCTGGGTGTCCAGCAGGCTCCCAGACGATGCTGGTGCTCCCGTCAGGCACGGTCCTTGTCCATCTCGGGGGGGGGGGGGGGAGCAGCTGGGCTTTTTGCTGCGTTGAATGCGTAAATCAGTTTGGGGAGTGTTGCCATCTGAACAACAGTCACTTTTCTGATTCATGAACGGAGATTTCTTCCATGTACTTAGGTCTTTAATGGCCTACATGTTTTATAGCTCCCAGAGTGTAAGTTTTACACTTCTTTTGTTAAATTTATTCCTGCTTTATTGTACGTATGCTATTGCAAATAGAATTGATTTCCTTATTTCATGTGTCAGTATGTTCATTGCTATGGTATAGAAATACAATTGATAATTTATATATTGATCAATCTTGCAACCTTGCTAAACGTGTTGATTAGTTCTAATATTTGTTTTAGTGAATTCCTTCAAATTTTCTATATACAAGATCATGTCATCTACAAATGTAGTTTTACTACTTTCCAATATGGGTGCTATTTATTTATTTATTTATAAATATGTTTTCCTTGGTGTTAGAGAGAGAGGGAGAGGGGAAAACATTAATGTGAGAGAAAAACATCTGTTGACTGCCTCCTACACAACCCCTACTGGGGATCAAGCCCACCACCTGGGCACTTGCCCTGGCTGGGAATCCAGCCTGTGACCTGTCGCTGTGGGATGATGCTCCATTAACCGAGCCACAGTGGCCAGGCTGGGTGCCTTTGACTTAATTTTCTTGTCTAACTGCCCTGGCAAGATCTTCCAGTACAGTGCTGAGCGGAAGTGGCGAGAGCAGACATCCTCGTTTTGTTCCTGGTCTTTGGGAGAAAGCTTTCAGTCTTTCACTCTTAAGTATGATGCCAACTGTGGGTTTCTCTTAGACACCCAGTCTTAGTTTGAGTATTTTTGTCTTTTTAATCTTCACCAGAGGAGATGTTTCCTTGATTTTTAGAGAGAGACGGGGAGAGGGAAACATCGATGTGAGAAAAACATCAGTTGACTGCCTCTCATATGCTCCCTGACCTGGAGTTGAACCCACAACCTTTTGGTGCGTGGATGGTGCTCCAACCAGCTGAACCACCTGGCCAAGGCCTTGAGTGTTTTTTCATGAGTAGATGTAAAATATTTTTAAAATAGTTTTCTATGTCTCTTGAGATGATTATATGGTCTTTGCCCTTTATTCTATTGCTATAGTGTATTATGTCAGTTGATTTTTGGATTTTAAACCAACCTAGCATTCCTGGGATAAATCCTACTTGGTCATGGCAAGTGATCTTTATATATTTTCTGCATTTGGCTTGTTGCGGAGTTTTTGCGTTGGGCTCATAAGAGATATTGCCCTGTAGTTTTGTTTGTTTTTTATGATGTCTTTGTTTGGTTGGTATTAGGATGGTACTGGCCTCATAGCTTGTTACCCTCTCACTTTCCCAGGGCGGGGGACTGAAGCATAGAGAGGGTGTGAGGTCATCACAAGCATATAGTTAGCTTGGGCTGGCATAACAAAGTACTACAGACGGCATGACCGAAACAACAGGATTCTACTTTCTCACAGTTCAGGAGGCTGAAAAGTCCGAGATCAAGGTTCTGGCTGACTCAGTTTCTAGTGAGGACTCCTCCTGGCTTGAATACCGCTGCCTTCTCTCTGTGTCCTCATGTGGCCTTTCCTAGGTGCGTGCGTGTGGACAGAGAGAGGCGAAGGGGAGAGGGTGGGGCTCTCTGGGATCTCTTCCTTTATGTTTTAAAATATATTTTTATTGATTTCAGAGAGGAAGGGAGAGGGAGAGAGAGAGAGAAACATCAATGAGAGAGAACCTTTGACCGGCTGCCTCCTGTACACACACAACTGGGGATGGAGCCTAAAACCCGGGAATCAAACCCGTGATCTCTGTGTTCATGGGTTGATGCTCAACCATTGAGCCACACTGGCCAGGCCTGTTGCCTCCATTTTTGCATTTGAGGAAGGGAGACCCTTGGGCATGCCAAGAACACACAGCTAGTGGGTGACAGAAGGAGAGTGAGCTGCCAGACCCCGGCCCCCAGACGAGTCCCTCTTCACCTGCCACACTGCCCCCCAGAGAGTGGATTAGAGTCTGATGATCAGATCTGGATGGAATGTGCTCATCCAGCGCGCAGTATGTACTGGGCCCTGGACGCGTCGGGCCCACGTGGGTGCCAGGCAGACTGCAGGTTGGAGAGGCCGGAATGCCAGTGCCCTGGCCACCATTCCTGGGCCCCTTCTATTTCAGGGCTCAATCTCAGTGGACAAGGAGGTCTTGCCCGCTGCACCACAGCTAATGACAGCCTGGCCTGCCAGGCCATTTAAAAACAGCTCCACTAATTTTACCGGCAGGAGGTGGCTGGCCTGTCTTCCTCCCGGGCAGTGCCAACACGGGTGATTGTCAGGAAACCAGGGCCTCGATGGGAAGACGGGTCCTTCCTCAAATCACAGACTTCGACGGGGCAGGATGTGCCCACGGAACCTTCCGGGGAGTGTCAGGCGCCACCTACAGCCCGGGGTCTGAATTTAGAGATAATTCTACCCTGCCTTGCCAGTGGGCTCAGCAGGGATCGCTCGGCCTCTCCACCATGACTACCATGCAGACCTGACCCTCCATGGGGTCTCGGCCGCAGGCGCGTCCCCGTGGGGGCGGGGGCGCCGAGAATACGGCTGGTGTGGCCGGTCCGGGAGCCAGGCCGGAGCTGAGGACATTTCTTCTCAGCTGTTGCATTGGAAGGAGTTTACAGTGGCTTTGCCTGGTGGGACCACTGGTGATTTCCTTTCCTCCTAAGGAAATGGTTTAAAGGGGCCCCAGGCCTCTGGGTGGAGTTTGGGAAGCAGCCTAGGGGATGGGTGAAGCCCCGTGCGTGCAGCCTGTGTACCCGTCCGTAGCCGAGCAGAGCTGCACCGTGCTGGCCGCAGCTTGTATTTAGGTCAAATCCTTTTATTTTCTGTCCACTGCCTAATTCTAAACAAAGTTGGTGGAGTGTTTAAAGCAGCGGTTCTCAACCTGTGGGTCGCGATCCCGTTGGGGTCGAATGACCCTTTCACAGGGGTCGCCTAAATACATCCTGCATATCAGATATTTACATTACGATTCATAACAGTAGCAAAGTTACAGTTATGAAGTAGCAACGAAAATAATTTTAGGGTTGGGGGTCACCACAACATGAGGAACTGTATTAAAGGGTCGCGGCATTAGGAAGGTTGAGAACCACTGGTTTAAAGCACTAGGTATCCTGATCTGTCTCCCAACCCCACCCAGCAGCAACCCTGGGGCCATTCCCAACCTCAGATCCGCCAGAAGCCTTCACTACCCCTTTGTCTGAGGGTCTGGCTCTGCCTGGCCCCTGGGTGCGGCCTCCACCCTCCCCCTCCCCCGCTGCTGTGAGCTCCTCCCTCTGTCTGCCTGGAGAGACCTCCCTCTTTAACACCTTTCCTCCCCATCACGGGCACCTTTCTGCCCCCTTTCTCCTAACCCACCTCAAGCATCAGTTCCTCTTTGATACCCTCCCCAGTCTAGCTGCCTCCCCTGCCTTGATCCCATGATCTGGCCTTCTGGGTGTTTTGTACCTGTCTCCTGGTCCCCCTCCCCCCTCACCCCAACCACCACCACCTGCGTCTCTGTGGGCAGGGCCTGTGCCTGTGTGCCATTGCCCTGCCTCCTGTTCCATGAACGAGTGGGCCTGTGGGACTCCCCATGGTTCCAGGTGCTTCCTCATACCTTACTTGCCTGAGCAACCCCACCTCCTGGGGGTGCTGAGAGCTTAAAGGGCAGAACCAGGCCCAGAACCCAGCTCATGTCTCCTAGGGAGACCCCCTGCTGACTCCCGGGAGCTAAGATGGCAGAGGCACGAAGGCTGAGTTCTCTAAGGCAGAAGTGGAGGTGGCGGGCCACAGGCCCCCAAAGCAGGCCCCCTGTAGCTCCTGGTTTGTAGGACTGTGGCTGACTCATGTCTGGGGTCGGGGGCACCTGGGAACCTTCCTGTAGCAGCTGGAGGCTGACCCGGAGGCTGCAGTGTGTGTGTGTGTGTGTGTGAGTGTGTGTGAGTGTGAGTGTGTGTGTGTGGAGGGAAAGGCTCCTGGCTGTGGCCCAGTGGGTGGGGGACCGTCTGTCCTGGTCCTGGAGGCCTGGGCTGGCTGTGCCCTCCCACCGATGTGCCAGGAGCCCGAGGGGACGGCTGCTGTGGGCCCTGGGCGGAGACTGGGGGCCGGTGCAGAGAGGTGTGGTGGTGTCCTCAGGGTGGGCAGCAGCCTGCGGTGGGGGGAGGACACCGGCAGGAGCGGGCAGAGACGCTGCAGGGAGAGCGGGGCCGGCCCTGGCCTGCCGCTGACCCTGCACAGAGAGGAACCTTGAGGCCCCTGCCTCCTGTATTCACCCCCAGGCGTCTTCTGTTAACAGGTCCCACCCCAAAACCTTCATGCGCCCAGAGCTGGGGCCAGGGCGCTCCCTCTGAGCACTGAGGGAGGGGAGGGGTCCAGGCTGTGTCCGCCGTCAGGGCCCCGAGAGCTTCGCCTTGCTGACCACTGTCCGGGCCACTGATCAGAGACCTGATGAGGGGAGGGTCTGAGCGGAGCGTTCCCATGGCAGCCTGTCCTTGTCTGGTTGCCCTCAGAACCGTGGTTATACTTTCAGTGAGGAAGTGGGGGTGCAGGGAGGCCAGGTGACCTGTCCTCACCTCCCCGGTAGGAAGTGGGTTTCGGACACCTTGGGCCTTGCTGTCTGAATCCCTTCCTCCCAGCTCCACCCGGTGCTGCGGGCAGTTGAGGATGTGAATGTGTGTGTGTGTGCATGTGCGTGTGTACATGTATGTGTGTGTGCATGTGTGTGTGCACGTGCTCGGGGTTTGTGTGGAATGGGAGTATCTGTCTGTATGGTGTGAGTGTACATGGGGTGTGTGAGAGGGCATGAGTGGCTGTGTGGGGGGTGTATGTGGTATGTGTGTATATGTGTATCTGCGTGGTGTGTGTGTGGTATGGTATGTGTGGGGTGTGAGTGAGTGTGTTGGTGCATGTGGGGTGTGTATGTGTGTGGTATGTGTGTGTGAGGTGTGTATGTGATATTAGTGAGTGTGTATGTGTGTGAGGGTGTGGGGTGTGTGTGGGGTGTGTATGTGAATGGTGTGAGTGTGTGGTATGTATGTGTGTGGTGTGAGTGAGTGTGTTGGTGCATGTGGGGTAAGTGAGTGGTGTGAGTGTGTGTGTGGTGAGTGTGTGGGCTGTGTGTATGTGAGTGTGTGGTGTGAGTGTGTATGGGTGTGGTGAGTGAGTGTGTGGGTAGTGTGGTGTGAGTGTGTGGTGTGTGTATATGTGTGGTGTGGGTGTGTATGTGTGGTGTGAGTGAGTGGTGTTATGTGAGTGTGGTGTGTGTGGTGAGTGAGTGTGTGGTGTGTGTGTGTGTGGTGTGAGTGTGTGGTGTGAGTGGTGTGGGTGGGTGTGAGTGTGGTGTGAGTGTGTGGTGTGTGTGGTGTGGGTGGGTGTGAGTGTGGTGTGAGTGTGTGGTGTGTGTGTGTGTGGTGTGAGTGTGTGGTGTATATTGTGTCTATTTTTTAATGTCTTCTTTTATGTTTTTCATTCCTATTGTCATTGATTATGCATGAAAGTCAACCAAAAAGTAGGTAAATAGAGTGTGTGTGTGTGTGTGTGTGTGTGTGAGTGTGTGGGGTGTGTGTGGGGTGTGTGGTGTGAGTGGTGTGTATGGTGTGAGTGTGGTGTGAGTGTGGGGTGTGAGTGAGTGTGGGGGCATGTATGTTGGGTGGGGAGGCCCCCTGCTGACTCCCGCCCGGCGCCCTCTGCAGGTGAAGGCAGCCAAATCGGAGCAGGAGGCCCGGAGGCTGCAGCTGCGGAGCCTGCAGTACCTGGAGCGCTACGTCTACCTGGTGCTCTTCAACGCTTACCTCCACCTGGAGAAGGCGGACTCCTGGCCGAGGCCGTTCAGCACCTGGATGCGGGAGGTAAGAGAGGCGGGAGGCGAGGCTGCCTGGTGAGGCCCCTGTGGGCGGGAAGCCTTCTCACCTCTCACTCTTCTCTTTGGCTGAGATTTTGTCTCATTTGACCTGGGGTCGCCAGCATGGTGTCTGCGCTTGGCAGGCAGGCAGTAAGTTTGACGAGTGGATGAATGGATGGCTGAATGCATGAGGCGGCGGGAGGGGACCAGGTGTGTGGGCCAGGCAGGCCCCTGCTCTGCGTGTCCCCAAGGCCAGCCTTGCCCATCCTCTTCATGCCCATTATGTGCTCAGCCCTCACCCACTCTGCAAAGGGCAAGATGCCTGGTGGCCCAGCCCCTGCCACCTTCCAGTGTGACCCTGGGCAAGTTAATTAGCCCCGTTAATTTGCTGCCTTCAACATGAACATGGACATACACTCCTACTGTTGGCACCACCTCAGAAGCGGGTGGTGAGGGCTCCGTGAGATACACAGTTCCCTCTGCGAGGCGCTTGCGAGCAGGTGGCTTACCAGGTGACTGTTGCCCTCCCGTCTGCAAGGAGGGGCTGAGCACAGACAGGTTAGGACCTGGGTCACAGTCAGCATTGGAGCCAGCCTTTGGCCCGGGACACCGCCCTGAAGGCCCACTTCTCCGCTTGGCCTCCAGCCCCTCCTGGTTCCTCCTGTGGCTCAGCTGGTGCTGGAGGCAGAGCTGCCACCTCGTTACCTCTAGGTTGGGGGTGGCCTCTTCCCTACTCAGCAGTGCAGCCTGTAATTGCCCCTCCACAGGGGAGCTGGCCCTCCTGACCTCCCCGCCTGTCCTGGCGGTTCTGATCTGGATCGAGTCTGCACTAGCCCTGGAGGGCAGGCAGGTGGGACAGCAGGAGGCTGGGACCCCAGCCAGAGTGGACATCGGCAAGGCATGGGCTGGGGTCAGAGCTGTGAGGGATTGGGGGCAGGGAGGCCACGCAGTGCCCATGGCAGGAATGGTGGTTGCTGGGCCGGGTGCTGAAGGAAAGGCCTTGGGTGTGGCCCTCGTGTGTTGAGTCAGGAGACCTGATGGATGTGCGTCACTCCAAGGCCATGTTGGGCCCCTCTGAGCGGCCCGGGCTCAGCTTCCTCTCTGAGACCCTGGGTAGGTGGAGGTGGTGGGGGACCCAGGACACTTCCGCTTGGGTTTTGCTTGGAGATTGAGCGGAGTTGGGGGCTGGGAGGAGCTTCACCCCCCCACCCCCTGAGCCTGAGTGTTGGGTGATGGGGGAGGTCAGGGAAGGAGAGAACTGTGGGTCCAGTTAGGAGTGTGGGGTTCTAGCCTCAGGGTCCCTGTCTCCTGGGGATTAAGGGCAGGTGGGGGTGAGTGTTACTTGGGGACCTTTGTTCTGAGTGGACCTTGCTCTTCCCCACCCCCGGGATGATGGGGTGAGAAGGAGGCTCCTTGTGAGAGGGTCTGGGTCTAGTGTCAGGGCCTGGGCCACTGGGCAGCAGAGGGTGGAGCGAGTCCAGGGAGGCCCACAGCCGGGACTCACAGCCAGAGGCTCCTGCTGGCTCCGGGGTTCACACCGCCTTCCTCAGCGCCCCCTGCAGGCCCAGCTGAGTGCTCGCTGCCTCACCCCTGACGGTCCCTGTGGGAGCAGCAGGCGTTGTCTCCGGTGCTGCTATCCGCCTGCCTGGCTGCCTGCGGAGCGCTGGCGGTGCCCATGGTGCTTATAGTCCTCCTAGTCCTCCACGGCGCTCCCGGCAGGTAGAGCCTGCTCTCCCCACTGTGAGGAAAGTGAAGCTCAGAGCGATTAACGGTCAAAACGCAAACTTGTGCAGTTCGCTGGGGCCCCGGCCAGGGTGCTGAGCTGGTAGGAGGCAGCCCTGGGCCACAGGCTCGGCCGTGTGCCCCGGAGCCCAGAGCGGGAAGGAAGTCACGAAGGGGGCAGGGGACCCGAATGACACCCTCCCTCCCCTGGGATTCAGCCCCATCTCTTCTGTCCTCTCCAGGTGGCGTCGAAGGCTGGGGTCTACGAGATCCTCAATCAGCTGGGCTTCCCCGAGCTCCAGGGCACGGAGGACCAGCCCTTCTCCAGGCTGCGCTGCCGGTGGCAGGAGCAGAGCCACAGCCTGGAGCCCTTCGCCGCCGGGGACTTCCTGTAGGATGGTTCCCCTGCCCCGTCCCCCCGCAGGGCCCCGTGAAGGCTGGAGGTACCCTCACTGAAGTGGCCCTGAGCTGACAGTTCCCCAGCTTCCCAGAGAGCCTGGGGCTGGGTTGGGACCCCTTTTTGGAAAGGGCTTTTTATAGGACAGTGAGCACGCAGTCAGACCTGTGAATGACAGGTGAGAGCAGCCCTCAGGAGGGCCCAGTGCGGGCCTTGCAGCCCTCCAAGCAGCTCACTCCCCAAGTTGCCAAACAAAGCTACTGGCCACGGCCACTGCCATCCTCTCCCCTCCCCTCCCCTCCCAGCAGGTCTGGCGGCCCCTGCGCAGAGCAGCCGGCCAGTGCGGGTTTCCTCTTTCTTTCCTTCCCTGCTCTCCCTCTTGGCTTCCCCTCTTTAGCCTCCTGGCACTGCCCTCGGGACCCCTGGCTCCCTGGGAGGTGGACAGCACTCTGGGTGGCTTTGGGATTTTAAAGGCAGCTTTAGTTTTCTTGCGTCTCGTGCCCGTCTCCAACCTGGAGACTTCAAGAAGTACAACCCCATGGTGTGGTGGGTGCCGCAGAGGCCTCGGCCTCTCCTGCCCTCCCTGAGCCCCCCACCCCCCGGGGGGCTGGCAGGACTGTGGAGTTTTCTAAGGAGCCAGAAACACCAGGGAGTCCCCCATGGCAGAAGCCAGCTCCATTTGCCTGGGAGCCCGGGTGGGCGGTGCTGAGTAAGCCAAGCACCCAGCCTGGGTCCCTCTGCACCTCCTCCCGCCCCGCCAGCCCCAGCCGGCCCGTGCCCCGCCTGCTGCAGCAGGGACCCTCGGGTGTGGCGACTTGACAGAGCAGTGGAGCGTGAGCACGGGCTAAGGGTGGCCTGAGGGGATCCCTGGATTGCAGACCATTCTTGCCGAGGACCCCTGAGCTGCCTTCCCGTGGGAGCAGACGGGGCCAGGCCCTGCTGACGTAGAGGGCCTGCTGTGTGCAGACAGCGGGAAGCTGCTCGGAAGAGGCGGGGAGGAGGGGTGTGAGCGGAGCCTTGCAGCTCTTCCTCTGGCGCCGGGGCCTGTGGATACCCAGGGGCTGCCCAGTGCGGAGGCTGGGCACCTGGCCTGCTCGTTGTGGCCAGCGGGGCCTCTCTGTGGTTGTGTACGTGCACTTCTATGGACGGACAGGTGGTCGTGTCCCTGGTCGTGGTATTTGAAAAGGGGAGAGGAGGCTGGAGTGGCTCATATCTACCTAGAATTGGAAACTATTTGACCATCTTGGCTGATTTCTTTTTGCAGAACTACTGTATGTCTGTTCACTACCTTCCCAGATGGGTTGTTTTTGTCTTTATTCTTTCTGCATGTATTAAAAAGTTTTAGTTTCTTTGCAGACAAGGTCTAGGTGAGGGGTCAGAGGTCAGGACTGAACTGGGCGGGAGCCTCTGTGTCCTCGTGGCTGGCCCTGACTTTCAGCTGTGCTGGGACCACTTGCCGGTCACGTCACCGCCCTGCCTCAGTCTCCCCATCTGCAAATGGGAGAAGAATACTTGCCTACCTACCTCACAGGGGTGTTGTGAGGATTCATTTGTGACTTTTTTTGTACAGAGCTTTTGAGCATTAAAAACAGCTAAATGTGAAGTGCGCCTGGCTGCTGGTTTGTGTTAGTGTGGAGCAGGCGTTAGAGAACTGATGCCTGCTGGGGTCCCCGCTCCTCCAGAGCAAGGGCAAGTGGGTGGGGTGAGTGGAGAGCATCTACCCTGAGGGGTCCCCAATCTCAGAAAAGGTGGCTTTCCTCCTAGACATCCCTTTCCTTCTTTCACATTTCCAGTTGTGCCTTCCCATGTCACTCAGGGTGCCCAGAGCTGTCATGCTGAGCCCTTCCTTGAAGAAAGCAGCATCACAGGCGAATTCACACTAAAGTGTGAAGGACTGCTCTATCCAGGGAAATGAGACAAGGTGGACTTTCAGGGGCTATGAAGGAGGGTGGACCTCAGCCTCCATTTCCTCCCCCGACCAGGTTCTGCTGGGCCCTTTCAGGGGCCTGGGTGTGTGAACATCGGCATTGGAAATGGGTGTGTTAAGAGGGGGTCGGGGGAGTGAGGCAGGGAGAGCTCTGACCCTGGCCTCTACCCAGACTCTTCCAGGATCAGGGGAACAAGGCCCTGTAGGATGTAGTTCTGAGGTCAGCTCGGGAGGTCAGAATGGAACTCAGAGCCCCCATGGAGCTGGAGTTGGTCATCTTTGCAGGCTCAGGGGGAGGCCTCCGGGGCTCATTTCATAGCACGTCGTTATTTCCTATGATGCTTCGTGTGGTTTCTGAATGCGAGTGTAGAGGTGTGAGCACCAGTGTGTGTGTGTGTGTGTGTGTGTGTGTGTGGCAGTTCTCACTTCTCTGCCCGGAATCAGGGGGCCTTGGTGGGGATGCACAGGAGTGGGTGGTGTGTCCCCCAAGCTCCCAGCCTGCAGAGGGCATGTAGCAGTGACAGGGACAGCACTGGCCCACATTGCAGTGGCTCCTCTGGTCGGTGGCATCCACAGCCTCTGACACACGAGTGACTTAGGACAGCGCCTGACCCACCGTGAGCACCTAGTCGGTCTCTCTGTCCTTGCTCAGCGGTCGTCCCCCACGGCTCACCCACACGTCTTGTCTAAAAACCACACACATCCTAACAAATGTGTGTACTCGTGTAACCCAAACTCCTCTCAAGATCTATAGCCTTACCTGTGGGTCATGTTTCATGTCAAGATTTATAAACAACACCTCAAAGGACATCGTCAAGCACACATCTTTGTGTAGGTCTGGTTAGAGCTCCTGGGACTGCATGTCAGTCCCCAGCCACCTTACGCAAATAAAGGGGTTTTAAAAATGGTCAGTGGGAGGATCTCACCGGAGCCCTTGGGAGGGAGGTCCCAGGGACTGGGGCGACCGGAATCGGGAACTGGCCTGGAAGCCTCGGTGGCATCCACGAGCGTGCATTGCCCCGACCCCGCGTGCGCCTCCCCGACCCCGCGTGCACCGCTCTGACCCCTCACGCAACCCACTACAGAGAACGATTGACACAACCGCCAGCTGCTGCTCCTTGGGATCTCAGACCGTGCTCCCCTCCAGTGCTCTCTCCCCTCAGTCACCCCTTCAGACAGGGACTGAGCTCAGTGATTTCTGCCCATCCCTGTGCTCCTCCATCCGGCAGCTCCTGCGGGGCCTCCCGTTGGTCTGCCTCGAGGTCCCGAGAGCCATGGGCAGTGTGGGGCTCTTC